AAAAAAAAAAAAAAAAAGAAAGAAAGAAATTATCTTAAATCCATACTTTGTGGGATAAAGCACTATTTGAGTCCCAGAATAGAAATGTTAGCATCAAAAGCTGGTGTCTGGAAGTATAGGTGAATACATCAGGAGCTGACTGTGTCCTGGGGCATCTGCAGATATCAGTGGAATACATACAGTTACCACACTTACTCTACAGCATGCAGTTTTGAGGAGAGTGCTCGGAATAAATAAATGATTGATTACTTCAATTCTCGTTGTAGCTCTTTTTTTGGCAAAGATAGATTTTTTGCGAAGAAACTTCTTTTTCCAGCATCACTGGCAATTCTCTCTAAGCTGTAAAACTCAAAGTGAAAAACCAAATCCTTTTCAATGAACAGTGGAATATTGTTAAAGAATTAGTCAGCATCTTGTAATGTAATATTGGGAATAGTTTCACAGCAACCCAAGGAAAGTGCTAGAAGGAAGTAGATGTAGAGACAGAAAACCTCAGCCTCACACTGTCTTTCGGAGGATCTGTGGGTCGTAGATGTTCAGGCCACCTAGTGGGGAGGAAAGCCACTTGTTATGGTCTTGTGCCCCCATTCTTTGAAACTGACAACTGTGTTCTTTTTAGTCTCCTTTCCCCTGTAACTCCCTCCGTAAGCTCATTTTCAATCTGTATGTTTAAGGTTTCTTTTGAAATTCAAGAGGAAAGCAATTCTTTTCTGATATCATAAATGAAACTGCAGTTATTCTATGAAGTAGAGCTGCGGAGAAGATAAGGAGCCTTTCAATCACTCGCAGACATCTTTCTCATGCTAAAAACAGTGCAAATAAAACATAGTGGGAAAAAGGGCTCTAAGGTTTTGTGCATACTATATTTGGGAGAGAGGGAGTTCTTGCTAAGATTAACATAAACATTGACACTCTTAAAATGCATTTTCACACCCCCACTCATGAGGAGAGATTGCATTTTAAATGGGGGTTAAGACATCTAGCCAAACTCCAGGGCTCTGTAAAAGGAACCCTAAGGCTAAAGAGCTTATCTGAAATTTGAAAAAAAGGAAGAAAAAAAATGGAGCTTTCTGACATTCATCTTTTTTCCTTGTATTAGTCATAACTTGCTTTTCGGCTGTATTTTAGTTTTTGAATGCCAACCTGACATCTGTTCAAGTCTGCCTGTAATTTATTAGCAGAGGAAAAGAAAGCAGTTGCTCTCTAGTTAGAGACTTCTCCCTTCTGATTTTCCACCCATGTACTCTAGACGATACCTAGATATGAGGAGTGCACTATTAAATAATTTACTAATTCTGATTTCAAATTGGGAAATTTATAGTTTTATTTTTTAAATAGAAGAAGAACATGGCTTTATGACCACGTGATTTCCAAAATCTCTAGAGCAGGATTTAGAGACAAAGCATATACCCTAAAAAAC